GTCCCTAGGGACCTTGTACAATTTTAGAAGAAATAACAAGTTACTTGTCTTCATGTTTTGATTTTTTTTTCACTTGTTCTTCAAATTATTTCATTCCTAATATATATGCAGGACGTTAATTTAATCAAAAGACAACATAAATACCAAAGAAGTTGCACATGTACAGTCGAAACATCGAGCAACTCTTTGTAGGTCCCAAGGACCTTCTCACGAATCTAACGTCATCGGCACTGTCACTCATCGGAGGGTTAAACACCATATTTTATTTTCGCGCAGATACTTTATTTCTTCGTTAACTGCTTTCTGGATGATAGATAAATTGTTGCAATCTCTTTCGATCTGCCGCTCAGGAGTAAAATGCTCTCCCTTAACGTTCGATAATTCATTACATTGCCAAACAACATGACGGCTTACTACAACTTTTCGCGTTTTACAAGCCAACCTAATACTCCCGCACGCCCGCAGTTTACTGTCAAAAATTTCTCGTGCACATACAACTTGTATAGGACCAACCGAAATTGACCGGCGTGCGTAAAAAGCTAACTCAAATTCTAAGATTTGTGTTGCGTGACATTTCGATTTGACGTTTGTGCTCATTTGACATTTTGGCGCGACTATGCATTAAAACTTTGGAACTAATGCAGAATAGCTCCGATTCTCAGATAAAAAAATAAATATTGGGGTCGGTAGAGATGATTGAGCTGAACATAACGGTATATTTTTTTTGCGGAAACAAAAACTACAAAAGTTATTAAGGGTCAAAGTTCAAATTAAACAATTCTTTAAATCAAAATTTTTTGAAAACGAATGCTTGATAGGAAATTTGATTTCCTTTGGATTGATATAAATATAATCCTCCCTAAGTAGAATTCTCCTTTCTGTGTCGCCACAGAAGAGAAGCGGAATTCCTTTCTGCGTACATTAATTCGATTTATGTGAAAACTAAACAAGGCAAATACAAAGTATGTATATCAAATTAAAGGGAACTAAATTTCCTGTGGATTGAGACTAAAACCTTAAAATCCATGTATTCGTTTTTAAGAAATTTTGATTAAAAAAATGGTTTAGTTTGAACCTTGACCCTTAATCACTTTTGTATATACCGTTATACTCACCTCAATGATCTCTATCGATCCCCATATTTTTTTTTTTAAATTTAAGAATCGAAGCTATTCTGCATTTATACTCAACTTCTGAAATTTGACAGAAATGCAACTCTGAAAAATCACGCACGCAAATTTATTTCGGTTACTCAAATGTGAAAAACTTGCGTGCGTGCGCAGTGCAGTATCCAAGCATAATACATTCAACCGATTTCGCGTCTAATTGTCTACTCTTTTCACGCGGCACGTTAACCATGGCTTTACTACCGAACACCCTAAGATGATTTAAATTTGGTATTTTGTTTGTCCACATTCAACGCACTTTTTCAACAATGGTACAATTAAGTCTTTCTGCCACCCCGTTCTGCTCATGAGTGTAGGGGGGCGTAGGGGCTTGACAAACAGTTTTGAAACTTTGTATTGGTATATTTAGTCCCATTTTCCGAGAGAAAAACTTTTATCTTGCGCCCGCACTGCTTTTCTGCTAACCTTTTAAATTTCACAAATTCTTCAAATACTTCGTTTTTGTTTTTAATCGGAACCAAAAATATCTTGTGTGAAAAATCATCAATGAATGTAACCACGAAACTCGCTCCAATCAAGTAGTCCCTTTGCGCGCGTACCAGTTTCTTTAAAGGAAGCCCGTGTTTGCTTTCCCTTGACATAAACAATGCACTTGTCGTTCTTATTTTTTTTTTATACTCAACGCCATTAGATGCATTTTTCACCTTTTTTAAGTGTTCGTCACAAATGTGTCCCATTCTTCGATGCCATAATTCATATTCATCGCGCACTACTAACGCTTTGTTCAAATTAGCTTCGCTATCGAATGGAATTTTGCTATTTAGTAGGTATAAGTCATTTACAACACTTCAAACACAACTATATTGCTGTTTTTGTCATCTGTCGCACCGAAAGCAAATTTGCACAAAGCTCCGGCACGTATTCGACATCTTTTAAAGTTGATGCTGTTTCGATCTTCCGGTCGATAACGAAATATTTACGTCACCTTTTGATTTTACAGGAATTGTTTTATTGTTCGCGATTAAAATATGTTTGTTTTATACCTGCACTTCTTTTACAATTAAATTTTTGTTCATAGTCATGTGCGATGTTGCTCCAGAATTAATAACCCAGTCACTTTCGCGAATGTCATTTGAAAGCAGAGATGCGAAAAGTACTTTCTTGTTTTTGCTGGTAGCGCTGCCCTCTTTCTTAAATTTGTTAGGGCACTGTTTTGCGAAATGTCCCAATTGGTTCCACGAGTGGCACCGAAATTGTTTCGATTTCGCTTTCTCTTTCGAGAAGAGTGCGCTTTCCGAGCAATTGCTATCAAATTTAACATCTTGTAGCAAGAGTGTCTTGATACTGTCGATTGTTAGCTTCTCCTTCGAATTTTCTACAGCTAGCACTAGAGCACGAAAATCGTCTGGCAACACTGATAACATCGGCGATGCGGCAAGCTCTTCTTCTATGTTCAGCCCTGCGTTTTTGAATTTTAGCGAAGTCATTAATAAAGAATTTACATATTCCTGCATTGATTCGAAATCTGAGAGCTTGCACGACACTAGTTGCTTAAGCAATTATACTTTGCGCGTAAGACCACTGTCTTCATACGCCGCGAGTAATGCATTCCAGGCCTTATGCGCAGACGTAGCTGTGGCAATGTATGAAAAGTTATTCGGTTCAATCATTAGAGTAATTTTGGCGAATGTGCGCTCATTGCAGTCCATCTCCTTCTCATTACGAGTTTGCGGTAGTCCATTTTCGATTACTTTCCAGCAATTTTTAATGACTAAATATGATTTTGCGTGGCGTTTCCATATATCGAAATTTTCGCGACCTTTCAATTTTTCGAAAGGAAAAGTTAACGCGCTAGCCGCCATTTTCTACCAAATCTTCGAATATCTGTTTATTAAATTCCAATCCCTATATAAATACTGTTTCGCCACTTCCTTCTTACTGATGTTCACTCGATGTCGATTTTATTTTCGCGACGTAGAGGCCCATTACCTATTAAGTTTTGAGTTTATTACACAGTGTCATTAATAAAAACGACCAGTCCTTTTGGTATGCAAAACGGAAGTGAAATTATATTTCTGACATTTGATGAACGTAGAAGTACTAAAAAAACGATTGGATATACAGAGTGGTATTTAAACGTATTCAAAGAAGGGTTGTTCAATATTTAATTTCAACTATTAAACTTATTGGTCTGTATGAAGATGGCTGTGTTGCGTCGTTTCTAGGTTTTGCTCTAATGATTATCTTCGACCTTTTCCATGATTTCGGAAAGTAACC